ACACCTAAACCCCCATCATGTTTTGCTGCTGCAATCTTATCCCAAGAGACCCAACAGATTTTTGAAGTGACATTTGAACCACCCTAAAGGAAGGCCCTTCTAATTTTTTCCAATTGTTCAAGTATTCTAGTAGGAGCAGCAAAAAGGGAGAGATAATATGTGGCGAATTACCTAAGACAGATGTGATAAGAGTGAGACTCCCCGCAAATGAAATATTTTTGGATTTTCAGGACGTAAGCTTAGACATGAACTTATCAATAATTGGCTTCCAATTTTATTTTTCAGATTCATATTCGCTCCAACGGGTACACCTAGATAAGTGAAAGGTAGGCATGAAGATTCACATCCTAAAGAAGAGGCCCAATGGGAAGCTTCTGATGGTGTGGAATCAATTCCAAATACTTTGGATTTGTTAGTTTACTTTCAAGCTTGAAGAGACATGAAAGCACCTCAAAATTCGGGCAAGGTTTTGAATGTTTCTCTCCGACCATTCGCCTAAAAAGAGTGCATCATCCACATACAGCAAATGAGATATCACCGGTCCAATATTGGGAATTTGAACTCCCTTAAAGATACCTTTGATACAAGCTGTCTTCAACGCCCCATTAAGTCATTCCATGGCAATGACAAAGAAAAATGGTGAGAGTGGATCTCCTTGCCCACCCCCTTTCCATTGAGAACTCCTTGGTTGGAACACCATTGACAACCGTACCACAGATGCTCTAGCCGAATTTATACACCCCCGATCCACATCCTCCACTTTTCTCCAAATCCCATTTGAATGAGTATCGAGTCTAAATATTCCCAATTTACTGAGTCAAAAGCTTTATCGAAGTCGGCTTTGAAGATCAAAATCTTTTTCTTGACCTTTTTTGCCCATGTACATACTTCGTTCACAATTAAGGGACCATCAAGTATATACATGCCTTCCATATATACCGATTGTACTTCGTCAATACAATGCCCAATAACCCTTTTGAGGCGGGCTGCAAATATAGTAGAGATGATTTTGTACCGACAACCAATCAAACTAATTGGTCGAAAATCACTGAAAAGCAGTGGATCTTTGGTTTTTGGAATCAGAGAGATAAAAGAAGAGCTACAAGAAGAATCAAGCCTTCCAAATCTTTCAAAATATTTGACAAAAAGGGCGATGTCCCCCAAAAAAATATCCCAATATTCCTTGATAAATTTAAACGTAAACCCATCAGGGCCCGAGGCCTTTTCACTGCCACATGCCCATACTACATCCTTGATTTCGCCCAATAAAATGGGTTCTTCTAAGTAGTTCCTGTCAGCCTGAGAGATACGTGAAAACATGGGTCTGTGTGGCCATTTTTCTTTAAATTTATTTTGGAAAAATCGTTGCACTTCTGCTTTAATTTCAATTGGATTTGTGCTCCATGTCCCATTAATCATGATCCCCATGATATTATTCTTTCTGATTCTATTATTTACCCACCCATGGAAGAAGCTCGAGTTTTCATCACCATCAATGGCCTAACGGATTCTGTACTTCTCCTTAAGATCAAGGCTATTCAATCTTTCCAATTCAATAATTTTCTTGAAACCATTTCTCCTAGCTGCTTTTTCTGGTGTCGTGAGAGCTCTGGATTCTGCTATGAGGTCTAAAGCCACCATCTTAGATTTTAGCATGGTTGCAGAAATCGCTAATCGGCTGCTAATCGGTGGACTAGCGATTAGGGATTAATCGGCTAGGCGGGGATTAATCGGGAGATTAATCGGGGACCATTAATTATTAAGAAAATTATTCAAAAATTTATAAATCTAATTTTAATCCTATAAAAAAAGTGATTATTCGGCGATTAGGTCCAATCAGGTCCGATTAGGGCCGATTAGGTCCGACTTTGACCTGCGTTGACCAAACCCGATTAGGTCCGATTAAGTCCGATTAGTTCCGATTAGGTCCGATTAATTCCGACTTTTACCTGTATTGACCAAACCCAATTATAGTGACCGATTAGCAATAAATCTCATCGGTGGAGGTCCGATTAGCGATTAATCGGCCGATTAGACCGATTTCTGCAACACTGGATTTTAGTGATTTAAGTTCTTCAACCTCCTTTAGATAATCTGCAACCCTCCATTCCTTAATTTTATTTTTAGATGTTTGAGTTTGGCAACCAACATACAGTCTGTAGTACCAAAACCTTGGAAATTGAGCCACGCACTCGCCATAATATTTGGAAGGGAGAATTTCATATATACCCCTCTTAAACCTCAAAATATCATATTTGTTCAGCTTAATTTCTTAATATCATATTTATCCTTCATAAACCTTCAAAATATCATATTTGCCCAAATCCTTTTTTATAATGTTTTTAATATTTTATAATCATTTTTTAAAACTTAAAATTACTATAATAATTAAAAAAAGTTAACAATATTATCCTTACGTCTATGATAATGGAATGTGAACTTCTAAATTGTTGAATGTCGTTCTCTTGACAAACAAAAATATTCATCTTCAATCCTCTCAATGGAATCTATATTTTGATTGTTTAGTTTTTTTTTGTTGTAGATGAAAGATATTTTAGATATTACCATTGATATTTGATGTTTAAAAAATGCATAGACAATATTTTGATATTTAAGAATGACATATATGATATTTTGATGTTTAAAAAGGACATATATGATATTTTGAAATTTTATGAATGGTAAATATGATATTTATAAATTTTATGAAAGGTAAATATGATATTTAGAAATTAAATTGGGTAAATATGATATTTTGATGTTTAAGAAGGGCATATATAAAATTCTCCCTATTTGGAAAGCCATCCCTATCCATCCATGAGTTAAAAAAGCAAAATGGAGTCGGGCCAAAGTCAAGTGATGTAGTCGATAAAAGAACTGGACAATGATCAGAAGTCTCTCTAGGAAGGGCTGTGACCACAACATTTGGAAAGACGGATAAGAAATCAGAGCAAACTAAGGTGTTGTTTGTTTTTTCTGAGGCAAAATGTCTGCAGTCTGCGGACCATATCTGTAGACCTCTGCAGTAGAAGAGGTGGATCAAACGTCTGCAGTCTGAAAAAAGAAGACTGTTTGTTTTTTTAACATCTGCGGGCTATTAAAATAAACTGAAATCTAAATAAACTGATTTTTTAAAACTTCAAACCGAATTTTTTATATATTTTTACGACTTTATTATAAATATATAACGAATCTAGATCAACTTTTATGTATTATTATATAAAAAATAAAAATAAAAATGGTATTAATTCATATACATATTTGATAAAAACCAACAACTTTGATTGCAAAGTTATAACTAAACATTATAATTAGTGATCAAAGAATTTGTACATAAATAGATGGAAATAAACTTCGATTTTTTCAAATAAATCTATTAAAAACCTACGATAAATATTTTCTCGAGAAATTGATGATACTCTATTAAATAAAGTTTTACAAAATTTTGGCAAAAAAATATAAGAATATATTTTGATTTTTTTTTCATATTTATATAAACAATTTCAACGACTATTATTATAATAAATTTTTATTTATAAATTTGTTAAAAATATCATGTTTGTATCGTCAAATGTTTTTTTTTAAGTTTTGTAATTTTTTTTTCATATTGTTTATCATTAATAAAGTTGGAAAAAATATAAATTAAAAAAAAAAAAAACTTAAAAAAAATAAAGATATATATGTTTTTTTAAGCTAGAAGATGTCTGAAGATGTTAGAAGACTCTGATCCACATCTGCGCCAAGAAGAGGGCGCGCAGACATTTTTAGGTCTGCAGTCTTCAAAAAAACAAACAGTATGCGAAGACTAATGTCTGCGCGTGGTCTGCGCGGTACAGACAGAAGACGTCTCGCAGATCTACAGACAAAAAACAAACACTACCTAAGTATCTGTCGAGCTTACTTAGTTTTAGGTCGTCTTGACAAAAATACGTAAACATGTGTCCGCCCATTTTTAGATCAGCAAACCCCCATCATGGATGAATCTGTTGAATCCCATTGCAGTGCGTTCACAAAAGTTTGAGTTAAACCTTTCCTCAGCTCTTCTAACCGGATTAAAGTCTCCCAATAATATCCATATTCCTTTTCTCCGTTCCATGAGGTTTAGAAGATCAGCCCATGGTTTCTCTTTTTCCAGGATGGCCTGAGGACCGTATATATTGGAAAGAATAACAGGTTTATCAATTCCAACCGAATTACCAATATTGATCAAACAATATCGAGATTTGATAGCATCAATTGAGGTGAATACAAGAGGATCCCAAATGTTAATTAAGCCTCAAGATCTACCGGTTCCGTGAACTTTGTCTGCATCACATTGGTCAGAACCCTAAAAATTAGCCACATTTATATTGTCTGCAGATTCTGCAAGTTGAGTCTCTTGTATACCAATGAACGAGAGTTTGTGTGATCTGACCAATCTGCTAACCCACGCCGCTTTACGATCTTTCCCCATCCCGCGAACATTTAAAGTCATAATGTTCATTGGATAACGTTTAACTCACCTGACTCGCCCAAATTTTCTTCTAGAATGGGGTTATCCTTATCGATCTCGAACCCAATTTCTCTTCCAATCAAGCAAGTCTTTTCAGTTTCACTAAGGTTCTGAAAATCGGATGGTTCATCCCCATCTGGGTCAACAAAGGAGTGTGCAAGGGGTGGCTCGTTGTTAAGGTCTAAGTAATTGTGAGTTGGGACCTCGGTGGATTCTGGTGATCTAGATCTTCTCCTTTTTTGTGAGGTTCTGTCATGTGCCTGGGACGTGTCAATATTCATGTCAGTGGCATTAGGAATTTGATTTGGAGCCACGGACGGGAATGGACCAAACCAACCACGTGGAACATTCCATGTTCAAGCACGTATCAGTGCCCACAAGTTGAGTATTTGATTTATCCCCATTACCTAATTCCAAATGATTCGAATGAACCTTTATTGTATTCCCAGTATTATCTCCTTCAATTACAAATAACTGCAACTCCCCCTGATTCATCAATGCGTTGGGATTAACAGTGACATTCCCAGTATCGACTGGTGGTTTCTCCTTCTTCCATTTCATTGGTATTTGATGCCAGTGTATCCTTGTCTTTTTCCCCTACCTCTTCTTCCACCCCGTTCCTTTTGTCATGCCTTAATCCAGAATTAGAGACAAACGTTTGTTCTTCTTCATCGAATGAGAAGGTTTTCTCAAATTCAACGATACCTATCGTCAGAAGCTCACCCCTAGTCTGTACTGTAACTTCATCATTAATGTTTTTCTTTACTCCTGAGGATACCAATCCCCGAATACAGGATATGTCATCTCTATGCATATAATCATCAAAGGGAATCATGATTTGACCATACCTTGCAATGATAATTCTAAAATTTGCTTCACACCAGTGTTTAATAGGTAAACCCACAACTTTAATCCAGGCCATCCTCTTGAATCCTACAATATGAGACTCATCTCTAGTTAAGCAATTGAACCATTCTTTCCAATTTTCTTCCTCGAGTAGGAAATTCTGAGCGGATTCAGTATGAGCAAACCTCAGAAGAACTCTAAGTCCACCTGTGTATTTCACATCTATCCATTCGTCATAATGGATGGATATGATTTCCTTCATGTGACCCAGATGGTGAACTGATTTTGCTTCCCCATACAGTAATTTCGAAGCCAACCACTTTACCATTGGGCCACCGTATACCAGTTGAATCAGTGGTGGTTAGGTCTGCAAAGATCTTGCGGTTCAGGCTCTGTTTCTTGTAACCTTTGCAAAAGATCTCCCATCTCGAAATCCACCTCTATTAGCATTACTGACGGTTGACGGAACCTTCAGGTTTTCGAGTGGCGGGTTTTTTTCTGGAGCCGCCTTGATCACAGCCTCCCTTCGCCTATGCCTCTCCACGTTAATCTTCAAATAATTATCTCTACATTTGGTTCCGTTAAGTTGATTCTCCATAGCCCTCACGTCTGAGACATCAACAAATCTAATGAATCTGAAATATTTTCCGTTCTTACCTTTCCTTTCTCCGAAGTATACATCTGTTAAACTCCCAAATGGCGAGAAAATTTTCCTAAACTCCTCCTTTGAAGTTCCTTGGTTATGTTTCTCTTCGCCGGAATATTCGCCGGTTTTTTAGATGATACAGAGATAGTGCAACGAGAAGGTCAATTTCAACACTAAACGGGATTAAACAACTCAACTGATCATCAACCTTAAAATCCATTAATGAATACAAATTTGATTAAGAGTTGACCCCTTAATAATGCAAATAAACAAAGAGAAAGTTCAAGGATATTTATGACAGATTAACTCCCATTCCCACTCTAGAGTAGCATTTGATTTTTTTTCTTTGGAACGGGAAGATTTTACTAAACAGGTCACGACCCAAAAGATGTTATAAAGTAAGGAGTATACTACATTATATGGGTTTATTAAAGAAAATAAAAAAAACATAAAAATATAACAATTTAAAAAATTTTAATTTATAAAAAAATTAAATACTAATTATTGAAATTGAAGTGATTATTTATCTTTTAAATTTAAACTAATAATTTAAATAAATAAACATTTAAAATAATTGGATTCAATTTTTAAATTTTTTAAATTATAAGGAAAATTGTATTAATGAATTGATATATATATATATATATATATATATATATATATATATATATATATATATATATATATATATATATATATATATATATATATATATATACTAGCCGTTACCCGCGCACAGCGGCGGGGACAAATAGCTTCTTTCAACGATTTTTTTTTAAAGAAAAATGTTATGTTCCAAAAGAAAGTTCATGTCGTGGGTGAGAGGAAGGGCGGTAGTCGTGATAGTGGTTGATTGAAGGCGAAAGGAGGCAGAGCGGCTGTGGTGGTGGTGGTTATACTGTCTTGGTTACTGGTTAGGGTTCTTCGAGAGAGTGTGCGTATATTTCTTACTTTGAAGAGATTACGAAGATAGATATTATGAGATTGTTTGTTACCAATGTGAGAGAAGAGATCCTCTATAAATTGTTGACATTGACCGCTTCAAATGGTTGAAGTGTTGAGATTGACGAGTTCAATTTGCAAATGAATTCTTCTATTAATTTAATACGAGATTTTTAAGGGATAAAGGATATGGTTAAAGTTTTAATATTATTATATTATAAATGGGTTGTACTTCAAGCTTAATAGTTTGGACGTCTTAAAAAAATAATATTATTATATTCAATCTATTTATAGAAATAGTTAGATTTCTTTTATAAGTAGTAAAGATATATATATATATATATATATATATATATATATATATATATATATATATATATATATATATATATATTATTACATTTATTACATTTAAGTATTATATGAAATTTAATAAAATGAATAAAACCACAAAATGACACATAGATATAATTTAATTTTAATAAACCATAAAATAACATGTGCCGTAATATATAAAAGGATTACAAGTGGTAAAATTATTTTCATTTATTAAGGAGGATATATATATATATATATATATATATATATATATATATATATATATATATATATATATATATATATTACAATTGAAAATTACTTTAAACATTAATATAATCTCAATGATATTAATCTTGTTAAATATTTTAAAACTTTAATTAAATATCTTTTATTTTTGAAAAATAAATAAATGAAGTATTCTTATAATAATATTTAAAACTCAATTGTATCTATTTCTTCACATTTTGTAAATCTTTTAGACAACATATAACTATTTTTTTTTTTAACTATTTACAACCCATCACTACAAAAAAAATGTTAATCAGTGACGAAAACAAAATGATCACTAAAAATAGAAAGAGTCGTCAATAAGTGATTTAGTGACCAAAATTTTCATCACTGAGTATGTTACTAAACTGAATAGTGACTAAAATTTATAAGTGGTCACTAATTAGTGACTAAATATATTCGTTACAAAATCTGTAATGATTTATTTCGTCACTAAATGTGTCACTATTAGGTGTGTCAAACCCAATAAATAATAAGGGTACAATACACTCCAAATACAATGCTTTAATGCACTAAAAATGGTACAAAGGAAGCAGGGTTGAACCACTGAGACACGAGATAAAAGTTTTGCTCAAGGTACTTTGGTCACAAAGGTTTTTTTTGTAATAGTTAAATAATGAAAATAACAATCTACTTTGAAAACATGCAGAAAAGGAAATAGATTTGTAAACATGTTGTTGAAATGCTTCCGGTTCTAGTTCTCGATGTTGACATTTAACTTGATTATGAATTGATGTAATTTATGATTGTTATTCTATATTGGCACTGAAAGATATTAACACGCTCTAATACCTCTCGCTTGCTAAATTATCTAACCAAAACACGCTTTTTGACTAGACCTATCTTTACTAATTCAACCTAAATATGCTCTTAGATTGTATTGAAAAATTGTATTAAGTTTTATATAAGCTTCCCAACAATGTTCATTTCTTCTCATACACTCGGAAGTGTGAAAACGTATGATATATGTTCTATAATAAGAAAACTTATTTTTTGATATCAATTATTAACTTAATAGAACTATTAGGTGCCCTAAAAGTTAATTAACTACACAAAAATTCAATTCTAGAAAGTAGCCAATCAAACACAAATCAAATTTAAGGGTTTTATTTTAGATAAACACATAATCACTAGAATAGAATCACAAATCAAACATCAAATCACATACTTCAAGTCAAATAATCAACATGTTTTGAACAAGAACTAGAAACTACAGTTTCTTAGCTATACGTGGCTAAGAACAAATCAAACATGAAGAACGATGGAATTAAAATGCTTAATGTTTACAAAATGGAAATCAAAAGTGTTTGCAATGATTAATAATCATCAAGAGCTCCAAAAATTCTCCCAAAAATTGCCATCTGTTCTCCAAAAACTGTTTCTCATGAAAAAAAGGAGACTTCCTCCAATTTAACTCCACAATTAACTGCTCAGGTGCTTTCCATAAGACCATGTGTTTTTGGCATGGCCATGCCTTTTGTCCATGTGTTTTCAGCATGATCATGTGTTTTTTATCATGTGTTTTTAAGCATGGACATGACTTTTTTTTTACTAAAACTTCAATAAGTCTTCATACTTGGCTCCTTCTTCGGTCTGACTTCCCCACGAGTCATGTTGCTCAAATATAAGATGAAAACGGATAAACATGATCCGAATCAGTGTGACACGGAACATGTTTCAAACATATCCATTTATTGAAATATATATCGTCATATGATAAGCATTAATTGTTCTCAAATTTAAACGAACCTACAATATTCATCTTTGGACAAGATATTCAAAGAAGATGGATTCAACCACTTTTTTACCATGTAAAATACTAAAAGTTTGTATCTCATGGCTGACAAAAGAACAAATAAGAGTAAAATAAGTAAATGTTAACTTTCATTGCAATCCACAGCCTTATTTCAATCACACATTTTATTTTGATTGCAAAAGTAGATCGTATTGAACACCTATCAAATCAATAGTTTCAAGTGAGAACCTAGCAAAACTAGAAGATGAAAAAATGATAGTACATTGATGTTTTTACATTTAAGAACTATAATACACCCACCCTTATTCTTCACCTACAAAAGAAGTATAAATAAGACAAAGCAAATAGATGGTGGGCTGGCAAAGGACCTAGACACATTTGACATCACATATAGGGGACCAAGGGTAGAATACAGATTTTTACCTGTATATCTGTATTTAAGGAATGTCAATTGTTTGTGTGAGGTCAACTGATTTTTGTTTGAACTTTCTCTTTGAGAACAATAACTTCTCGAATTGTTATCTTGTCATTCTGTATTCAGTATTCCATTAAGTAATCATTTGAATATCTTGTTATTTCATGTTATCTTTAATTGTAGTAGAAAGTATCCTAGAGGTTGCAGGCATAACAAATTGGTATTTGGGCGGGCTGGGAAGGATGGTGGCATTGGGAAGGAGGGGAAAGCAACAAACAAAAGAGTTGAATACTTGGAGTCTGCCATGAGTCATGTTTATGATAGATTGGATGTACAGTCTCTTCATATCAAACACCAACACCAGATAGATACGATGACCTATATTGAGTTAAAAATGATGAATTTCTTCAAGTGGTACTCAAGAACGACTCTGGTGGATATGAGGAGGAAGGGGGAAATAAGATAGCTGATGGAGGATCCAGTTGGGGCACTAACCTACCCATGGAAGAAACACCCAAGGTAACATCTAGTTTCGTGAAGAAAACTAGAAGTGGAGGTGAAGGAGCTAGGTGGTCACAATGGCTGGTCTGGGTGGAGTCGTGGAGGAATTAGTTTCGATATGGGTACATATTGGAGGTTAAGGAAGCTCTGGATATGCCTCTTTTCGATGGAAATTACCCCGATGGATGGGTTCTATGGGCATAAATATATTTCAAGTTTTATCATTTATCGTAGGAAGACAATATTGAGGCCACTGTTGTGGCTTTGGTGGGTGACGCTCTCTTGTGTTTTTAGTGGGAACACCATAGGAGACCGATATTGCGATGGGAGGAGTTGAAATCTCTACTCCTCCGACAGTTTCGTCCGTCAAATGCCGAAACATTGCACGAGCAATGGTAGCAATGTCTCAGTTGGGATCGATGTTAGAATTTCAACGAAGTTTCATCGAGTTAAGTGGCACTGCTGAACAACGTACCAGAATCCATGGGGAAATTCATAAATGGATTGAAGCCAGAGATTAGGTCAGAGGTAGGGATGTCAACAGAACCAAACGGGAGCGGGAATAGGTGCCCCCGCTCCCGCCCCCGAAATTAGTTGGTGCCCCGCTCCCAGTCCCACCCCCGGCTCCCCCGTTTACATAGCCCCCGGTCCCACCCCCGGTTATCTCCATCGCCTCCGGTCCCGCCCTCGTTCCCCCGGTTCCCCGACTTAAAATTGAATATTTTTTTGCTAAAAAACTGTTTTATTTTTGGCAAAAATACTATTTTTAATAAATTTAAAAGCCTAAAACCTAATCTCTTAGAAACTAAAAAAATGAAAAATCCAACAATTCCATTAATCTTACAATCTTACAAAAACAAATCCAACAATCTTACAAAGACAAATCCAACATTACAAATGCAAAATACGACAAATCCAAAATTACAAATATAAAACACAATTCACTACATCTTCAGTATCCATTAATTTCCTTCAACTCTTCATTCACTGACATTCGAATATCCTCCCTAAATAAATAACAAAAATAATAATAAAATAAATTATTATATTAGTTTATTCAATAGAAAATGACAAATTGAACAATCTTACCTCAAGTCCCTCATCGTCTTCATTGGAATGTACATCATCACCATCAATAACACATCTTAAGAAAGAAAAAAAAAATAAAGGTAATAAGCATAATATATTAAAATGAATTAAAAAACAATGGTTCAAGCAAATTCATACATACCTTTTTTACCCGCTCATAGCCAATTTTGAGTGCATATGATAGCTTCAATTGTTGACGGAAGAAGTGTACTCCTATGTGGACTAGCGATTCTACCACTTGTAGAAAAAGAAGACTCTGAAGCAACAGTGGAGATAAGAATGGCTAATATGTCTTTTGCAATCAAACACAATGTAGGATACTTAACCCCATTTAACTTCCACCAACCTAACAAATCAAACTCGTGAATCTGGGGTAAAGTGCCTTCCTCTAAGTACCTTTCTAATTCATTTTCAGAATTCCATGAAAAGAAAGCATCTAATGAGTCCATGTCACTTGCGAGAGCTGCATCTCGACTAGAAGTGGGCTTAGTAGTAATATCATCATTACTTGCTTGACTCATAACACGTGACTCATATCGCAAATATATATCTTCACAAATTTGACGCACGAATTTCATCTTTTGCATTATCTACTCCATAGATAATAGGAAAAAAAAATACTCTAGGAGCTTCATCTTAAACCTTGGATCCAATATTGTCGCCATATCCAACACCCCGTGACTTTCTTTCCGATACTCGTCAAACATTGTAATCATATTTTCGGACATTTCGCTTATTTCAATGAAACTAGATGTATCCCATTTCTTTAGAGCAATCTTTATTTCACATATTTTGGGGAAAAAATGTTGGTTGTTGGATATTTTGTTCCCGAAAACAATTCAGTGACATTATAAAAGATTTTTAGTCTATCACAAAGCTCACTTGTCAAAGCCCACTCTTTCTCATCAGGTGCATTCTTATATTGGGGCTCACATTGTTGTAACCGATAAAACACCTTCTTGTATTTCAAAGCCGTGGAAAGCATTAAATACGTAGAATTCCATCGTATTTTACAAGGTAGTTTGTCTACCATCAAATCTATCATGCAATTATTTGTTGAACAATTATCAAGAGTTAAAGTTGATAATTTTTTATCTATGTTCTAGTCCAACAAACTATTCATCAACACATTAGTGTTCAAAGAAATCAATATAAATTAAGTATTACCTCAAAAGACGACTTTGTAATTGCCAAGAATCATCAATGAAATGGGTTGTCACTATCATGTATCCTTTTTTTTGGTAGTTGGCAGTCCACATGTCGGTAGTTATTACAATCCTACCTTGAATACTCTCCAAAAAATGCATCATCCTTGCCTTTTCCTTCCCGTACAACTTCATGACATCAGATCTAGCTGTGTTTCTACAAATTGGCCTAAAAAGTGGTTGGAGTCCCTGACAAAAATCTCTAAAGCCTTCGTGTTCAACAATTCTAAGTGGGTAATCATGTTTTGTGATCATTTTAGGAAGATTGGTTCGCGAATCGTCATAATTAAACCGATGTGTTGCTAAAATTGATCCCCCACTTTCATCCGTCTTAGATCTTTTTCGGGTTAACTGACTCTGAAAATCATCAATTTTCTTTTGCCCAGTTCGTATTTTGCATGACTTATGGTGAGAATGCATCCCTTTGATTCCATTTTTGGTTGTATAAGTAATTTCCTTTCTACAATACTTACAAACAGCCTTTTTGGTTCCATTAACTTCTTCATAAGTGAAATGACGCCACATTAGAGATGTGAATTTAATTTGTTTCTCGTTACAGTTAACTGCAGAATTGGAAGTATCATTAACCGTGTTTGAATCATTGGGTTGATTCGGTTCTGCTGAAGACATGATTACAAAAATCTGAAAATGATTTACACAAACAATCGATGAGAAATCATGTATATAACTTATCTAGCTAAAAAATACATGTATGGAGACATTTAGTAATTTGACAGCATTTATTAATTTCACACAAGTTTTTTTATAGCGTATATAATAACTTGACACTATAAACACTGGTGGAGTTAATTCACCGGGTTCAATTTCTGCCATGTAATTAATCAAGTTTCACTCACAAACATCGTCTTGTAGAGTTATGCACTTCATATTACTCTATAAATAAACTCCATTGCATTTGATCTCAAAAAGTCAAACAACGTACACAAACAGAAGGAAATGTGTTTCCAAACATGTTATCTGGAGCATGCAAATCTCATCATAATCACAGGTGCAATTTCATATATTTCTCATATAAACATTTATTTATTTAAATAATTATTTAGTCATTAATGTAAGAATAATTTTTTGTATCAGAAATTTGAAGATGAATAACTTAAAATCATTGGAACCAATTTCAAATCTCTGGTTTCAGCCCCTAAGGTAGTGGTTTAATCTGTATTAAACCAACAGTGCAAGCATATTTTTTCTGCCCCTAAGCCCTAAGGTTCAAATACTAGATATAGGTTTTTGAACTTGAGATTGAGAAACTGGAATGCATGAGATTGAGAAATTGGAATGCATAACTTGAGACATTTGTGAGTTATTTATCAAATAGTCAATTGATCTTTAACAGAGTTAAACTTGATATTGAGAAACTGGAATGCAGAAGGTTACAACATTACCGTGGAAAATGGAATGCAAAAGGGGGTCGCTACGAGCCTGCGACGCTGCCTCGTTGCCTCGTTCGTTTCCTACGGGAGTCGGGAAGAAAGGACGCTGCCTCGTTGCCTCGTTCGCTAATCACTGCCTCGTCTTCACTCTTCTGATTTCAATTCTTCATTCGTCGGTCGAAAGTCGGAACTCGGATTGTCGTTGTCGGTCGGAACTCGGTCACTCGGAACCTAGTCATCTTCACTCTTCAGACTTCAATTCTTCATTCGTATAAGGATTAATCGTCTAATCGAGTTATGGAGTAATTGAGTATTGAGTATTGACGGAAGTTGGAACACAGAAAAGCTCAAGCTGTGTCAAGCGGTCTGCGGTCAAGCTCAAGCACTCAAGCCCTAATTGAGTATTGAGTATAAACGAGGCCCCCGCGGGAGTACGGGACGGTAATTCTCACTCCCGCTCCCGGTCCCGAAAATAAATAGGAGTTAATATCGCCCCCGCTCCCGCTCCCGCTCCCGCTCCCGCTCCCGAATTTTTTTAAAAATTAGTCCCGTACAGTATCGGGGTCCCACGGGAACGGACTCCATCAAGAAAAGTGGCCCAATTTCGAAAAGTAACTCTAGTACCACCCCAAAATGGACTCCATCAAACAGGGTAATGTATGGGTCTCCTATAATCACTCCCATCAAAACCATCTTCTTTTCACTGCGAACTTGAAATCCACCCTCACAGTCTTAAGTAAAAGAAAATAACAAAGTCTGACGTTTGACTGATAACAAGCCCTAGTACATGCGATAAAAAAGGGTTTTCTTTTAGGTGTGATAACAAGTGGAGAACAGGTCGTAGATGTCAGCATTGAGAGCTCAGCGCTTATGTTCTCCTCATACAGGAGGAAACAGAGCCATAATAAGAGTGTGAGGAAGAATCCAATATGGAAGTAGAACCAAAAGCCTCAGAAGTAACCAGCCTATTAGGAATTTGTTTTTAATTCAGTTTTGGGAAATAAAACCCTCAAATTACGATGAAGATTGACTAACGCTGAAGTGGTGGTGATGATTGACCTGGGTACCACCCATAATTTTCTAAGCCTTAGGTTTGGTCGAGAAATTTAAGTTATAGTGAGCCCATGGAGTGGTTATCAAAGAAGAATTTTTATCCCTTGGATTTAGACACAGATTATAAAGTTCAACATCGATGAGCAAACCATTACACTCAAAGGAGATCCATCTCTCGGGTGTGCCATTGGGTCAGTGGGAGGGGAATAGTTGTTACAGTTTTTTCATCTTACAAGTGAAGTAAGAGAACAACAAGATGTTTCCAGTCTCGAACTCTTAACACCCTTACTTCAATAGTACCACCAAGTTTCCTAATGGAAGGGTAACCTTTCCCCGTATCGGAATCAACAACACTCAACCACCCTCAAGGAAGGTACGTAACATGTATCGTTTAGACCTTATCGATACTCTCATATCTGGAAGGCATAAAAGGGGAGAGTAATCAACAATATGATATGTTTAAGAGGCAAGCAACCCTCTACGAGCCCTTTCTCCAGCCCGATGTTGTTAGTTGAAAAAAGATGATTCATGGAGGTTTTGAATTAATTACAAGAACTTGAATAAGGTAACCGTCAAAGAAAAGTTTCATATTCCAATGATAGACAAATTTATCACTAATTACCGGATGAATTACATAGGTTAAGAGTCTATTCCAACTTGGATTTGAAATCGGGGTACCACCAAATAAGCATGAAAGAAGAAGACATACTGAAAACAACTTTCCGTGCAAACGAAGGTCATTATGAGTTTCTGGTCATGCCCTTCGGACTTATGAACTCCCAGATAACCTTTCAATTGGTGATGAATGAGATATTTAAACCATATTTGCGAAGGTTTGTGTTGGTTTTTTTATGACATCCTCGTTTACTTCCCCAATAAAATAAAGCACGCATAGTACTTGGAGATTGTCTTACAACTGCTTACAAACGACCAGCTCTATGTTAACCCAAAAAAAATGTGAACTTGGAATAGGACAGTTAGCATATCTATGCTAACCCAAAAAAATGTTACGGCTACCCCGCAGTCTTACAAGACTTCCCACACTTATCTGACCACTAGTGAATGCTACGACTACCTCGTAGTCTTACAACACTTCCTGTACTATCTGACTACTAGTGAATGCTATGGCTACCCTGTAGTCTTACAACACTTTCACCCTAACTGACTACTAGTGAATGTTACAGGTCCCCCATAGTCTTACAACACTTCCGACCTAACCTGCCATTAGTGAATGTTATGGTTCCCCCATAGTCTTACAACACTTTTAACCCAACTGACTACTAGTGAATGTTACGGCTCCCCCGTAGTCTTACAACACTTCTGACCTAACACAAACACAGCTCAATGTCTTACTCCTAATCTACCAATTTGAAACACACACATAGTTGAGCATGCACTCGACCGAACACTCAAACTGAACTCAATTCCTGATTGAAACCCCAACTTGTTTCCTCTAAATTCTGTTATCAAGCACCAAGAAGACGCAATTCACATGCTAGGAAGTTTTACCGAACTCCCAACTCACACAACCCTCAAACCAAACAACCACTTGGATCGCCCTCCTCCTTGATAGGGATACGAAACTCATCCTAGTTTCATAACCGCTTCTGCTCCTGAATACCTTAATGATTCTCCCCTACCTTGAATCGACTAAATTCCCAAAGCACACGAGAACAAAAGGATTCCTAATTACAACGATTGACCCGATGCAATCTAGCGCTTACCAACTAGTGCTCCATCACTAGCCAATCCCCCAAAGACCACACATGTAACATCCCAAAAATTATGGACCAAAAATTTCATTTTTAATTAAGTGATTTGCAAAAACATTAGTAACAAAATATCATTCGACCATATCATTTAATAAAACATGTCTTGCGTTTGTAAATCGGAACGTAAATCATAATAATATCACAGTACATATCCCAG